ATATTTTAATATTAAAAAATCTGGATTATGGACGAAATAATAAGTGTTAGATTATTATTATTTATTTATTTATTTTTTTTTTTGTGAGGGGCATAAATAATATGCCCGGGGTCGCCAAATTTTTAAATACGGGCCTGACGGTAATTATTCTTATTTTTTTAAACCCCCTCCAAAATTTTTTTCTGCGTCCGCCCCTGATGTGGGCGAATGGCAGTAGAAATCAAATGTTCACGAGCGGCAAACTTCGCACCTAGCTCGCATATTCTGTAATTTCAGCGTGATCCTTCGTTTTACTATAAAAGCTTCATAATAACCTTACGCTAGAACTTTGGAAATCGCTGTGAATTCCGAAGGCACTGTATACGTGTTGGATGAATGTTTATGGTGGAACTTTCATGATGAGATCTCGAACTTAATCGAACCAAGATGTTATCCGTTATTGACATAACTTCTTGTGGAACAAACGAATTCAATCCCCGAACCTAATATTATAGATTTCCATATTATCCAGGCTCAGCTGTAGCCAGGTTTCATTAAGGATTCTGTTGCAAAACATCAATAATTATAACAAGGCATATGTTTACGCGTAATGATATTTACATTTATACGCAAATATATTCCACGTACACGAAACAAATAATGATTTAGGTACATATGTACAGTGCCGAAAAACCCTACGCTTAGGTCAGACCGCATCCTGACCAAATTTTTAAAATGAGGCCGTAGATCAGAGGTGCCGATCTACGGTTTACACTTTGCAATATTCTGACCTCGTGATTATTCTTGCGAGGAATGCCGGATGGACACTACATCTACGAACGGAACGGAAACGTTAAAATGTAAATTATCTAAATTAAAACACACAATAAGATATTTTGCATACGGTACGGTTTCTGTCGGTACGTGTCTGACTTTTATGAATCATGCTTAATACTTGTAATTTGAGAGCACAAATTATTTTTCTATGCAAAGTAAAAATGTAGGCTGAGGTTCTTGAGGCCGTTGTATTTTTATTTGGCATGAGTAAAATTTTAGAAATTCGGTACCACTGCATATGTGCTTGTGTACTTATAAACTTCTTATTTTGAATATTGGTGATTTTATTCGAATGTATTACGAGTACAAATGGAATTACTTTCAATGGTGTTCCGACTATATATTTTTTGGAATGGACTTACCATAGGTTACTGAGTAAACGTTTATAACTTCGGCAGATTAAATGTTTAAATTGATCGAATTGAGTACTATTTTTACAAGAAAAAAAAAAAATGATGACTCGCAATATCTTTAAGTATACATTTTTGCATACATTTTAAAATATAAAATAATTTTTTAATATACAATTATTCTATTCCTATTTTTTAAAAAAATCCCTGAAATCATGAGGATAAATGTTGTCATTCCTACAGTCCTTCTCATAAATACTGCACCCCTGAAAGAAACATATGAGAAGTAAAATAATTAAATGGTTTTTCAATAATTCATTGTTATATTACACGTAATTTTAGATACACGATTTTTTTTTAACTGTATATAAATTTTTAGTCTTATATTTATAATTTTTAATTATTATAATATACATATAAATACATTTCCATTTTCATTTAAATAATTTTTATCTTTTTTTATCTATTTATAAATGAATGCATCCACATTTTAACATTTAAGTCTTGTATCTACTGGAATATAATTCAAACAAATGCATAATTGAGATTTCTATTTTTATTAATTACTACACAATGAAAATAATGTTACTTATTATTTAATACTGTATGATATATTGTTATAGTGTTACAAATATTTCCAATCACGAGCAATTTTTTATCGGTCTTGTGTTATTAAATTATATGTTCGTACTATCTAATAATGGTAAACCTGTTTAAAATGGAAGTATAATATTTATGTATATATAAATTAGTATTTCAGAAATGAATATTTAATTTACTGGCAATTTTTTGAAATTTTGTAATTTTATTTACAACAGTTTATATTCTTTATTTAAATAGTTCAATCTTAAGTGGGTGTACTTCAATGCAGCCATTTTAGGTTAAATTGCATGTTATATCTTTCAAACTTGAACATTTAGAAATAAAAACAATAACTTAAAATTTAAAAAAAAAATATGTTTATCTCTGAAGTAAACAGTTTTTAAATTTTTTATTTTTATAAAACTTTTTACATATTTTTGCATAATTTATTTTCATACGAATATTATTTAAATTCTTTTAAAACTAGTGTCACTATCGCTCCTTATTAAGACAATACCGGTAACGAAATTCATTAAAAACATATAACTATAAAAAATAAAATATTATATATACTTATATATATTTTCAAATAAACATAAAACAAATTGGATGAGATATTATTAAGGAAACATAAGATACAGTAATGTGGTTATTCACATCTGGAATCTAATCATTAATATATTCAAATACAAAACGATTCTGATCAAAACTCAGTTTAATTTGTTATAATTATGCAGTTTGGAGTGTATAAAAATACTATAAAAAGTAAATAAATGGTCAAAACCTAAGAGATATTTTAGTTGCTATAGAACATATAAAAATAATGTAGTATTTTAAGCTCGGAAAACTACAAAAATAAACAAAACCCCTATTTTTTATAAAGAAATGAATAATGCTTAGCTTTTCTAACATTTATTTTAAAATGTATAGTAGAATGAGCCGTGCAATTGTTATTGAATTTCTGTTACTTAAAAAGTGCACAAAAAATATAACCAATGTTTTCTTCAAATTCATATGGCCGTGAAAATAGTTTAATATTTTCGAAACAACACATAATAAAAAAGTAGGCTAAAAATAAATATTTTTGCTATTCTGATTGATGTGTGTAACATATTACATGTTTATACCACTAAACAAAGTATACATTTCGATTACATGAAAAAAAAAAATTCAATTTGCCTTGGTACCGTATATGACTGAACCTACCTGTATCAAGTATTTAGAAAGTTCGTGATAAGAAATTTTCAAAATCTGACTAGTAAAATTTTTTAATTTTCTCTTTATAAAATATTTTGACGTTTTAAAATGGTTATTATTCTTTGTGCTTTTTAACGTTATAATAATATTACATGGTAACTTAAGTCTATTTATCGGTCTTTTGTGCTATGCCATCTAGTAAATTTTTGCGTCGTCATACCAGTCAAGGTATATAGGTACGTGATACTTAAAAGCAAACAATAGTAATATAGTTATTGGTTTAGTGTCATCCGCTGATTTACAACACATATATACATTCGACCAAATATGATCTAGAACCACTGATCATACTCGTCCGATTAAGGTCAGCGCACTTTTAATCGGGCCGTTTCCAATACGAATATTTTCCATTAATAGACATCATTCGGCAGAACACCCGTGGTTCGATAATGATTTTGCAAGCCACCGAGTGAGTGGTCTACGAAATTCTATAATTTCTCATTCGTTTTGGTCAGACTAAATATGTTAGTTATTGTTGATGTCCTATTGATGTGTATTACTATTTTTGAGTTTACTTTTCAATTCCTTTTTCACTTTAGATTTAGTTGTCCGGGTTGAAACTGGTTAAAAAATATACCGTTATAAGACTGGGGATCTTCTTGTGTACTCTATATAGCCACTGACAAACAGGCTTTTACACGCGGTGGCCGTCACCTGACAGCTAAACAATCTCGCCACTAACCACTCCCTCCGAAATGGTACTGGCTATCCGATAATAATGTACTCGTATACCATATTTCCGAATCAACCGATTGCCGAACTAACCATATGTTAACAAACATTTCCAATATGAACTTCACGTGAATCCCGACCGTATTTGGTTCATGATAGACTGCTGCAGTGTATTTTGGAAACATGTGTAGATACCACGATGTCATCGTGTTAATAACGTGGCCTAGAATAAGCTCTTATCCGCCAGTTGATAAGAATCTAGACATAAGTGGCAGGAAGGAGAAATCGTAATAATATCAGACAGTTATGCGCAATGTTATTGTTGAGCAGTAATACGTCTTCATTGTATGTGTATTATCACCCACTAACCCGGTTAGATAAATCATAGTGGTCGTGGTTAAATGTTTATGAAAAAATGTACTCAAATTATGTACTGAGATTATAACGGGGTTTTTCGTAAATAATATAATGGGTTCTACAACAAAAAAATATTATAAGCACGTATAATTATATTACGTATAATTAGTAATTGTAATGAGTATTTTTAATTTATGTTAAGATGGTCCGTTTCTCAACGTTGAATCCATGTTAATAATAAATTTTAAATTTTATTTTAATATATATATATATATTTAAATTTTATTAAAATGGCCTGTAATGTAGATTTGTGTTTTTTTTAATATCGTGTAAACGAAATATAACTCGACGTTTCATTTTAAATTCTGTATTTTTCTTAGTGCTATATCTATAAATAAATCATTAAAAATAACGAAGTCACTATTACAAACATATTCGAGATAGTACCTGATCATTGTGTCGTGCGTATTCGAAGAACAATAACATAAATATAAAGTCTTTGCACTTTTGCCGTCATATTATTAATTCATGGGCACACATGATACTCACAATAAAAACGAATCGTATACTCTAACAATGAAAAGTAAAATCAGGCCACTCAAGGAGGATTCAGAAGTAAATGCCAAAAATCGATTACGTATTTGTCCTTATGTACAGACGCATTATTATAATCGACGAACAATGGAATTAAAGAAAATCATATTTTTTATTTCTATATGATCACTGAACGCTGGAAGTGGGTTTAGGAGATGGTAGCACACCGCGGATACAGTGAAAGGTGGTCCAGGTATTGTATCCGTGTGGTCATAGCGCTTTTGATTGTCGGACCATCTACATGTTTGTTAACGCATCATAATGATAATTAATAATAATAACACGATGTTTTTGAAGGTAAAAATCGCGATAGCACCTACTCGGGGTTTTCGGAGTGAACGGTGATTTTGACACGCTATGTTGATTTTCCAGGTGTTGCTGTTTTGTCTGGTTACCTATGGATATGGTAGACCATCGACTAACGAAGAATCCGACGAAATCTCGAGGGATGCTAAGAAGGACAAGTACTTCCAACAGTAAGTACACATTTTTCTATACGCATTTTTATTCACACTTTTCGATTTTACTTGTAATACTAATGTAAATACACAATCAACATTAAACTCTAAGTATAAATAATAAACACTGTACAAAATGGGTTTAACACAATATTAACGCAATCGATAACGACCGACGTAAAAATGTATATTTAACTAAACTGACTGACTAAAAATGCAAAGTATAACTTCCTTAGACTTTGAACGGATCAAAGTTATACATTATGTTCTTTACTAAAACACGTTTATAGCAGTGCACAATTTTGGTGGTTTTCTCTTGTTTTCTACGGTTTTAGTGCTTTGTATACGAAATTATGGCAATGGAAACGGTCGATATTCAAAACGTGTAACATATAGCATAGAAGGTAAGCTTATTATGGAACACTTTTTTTTTCTTTTTTTTTTTTTTTTGTTATTTTTATCCTATTTGTTCTTCTTTTGTGCTTTATGCATACATGTACTAATAAATTACAATATAGTTTTTATAAAATGACGGTAAAAGCACTCTATACATTTTACCGAACAGTAATAGATTATAATAAATTGTCGAACAGATATACGTAATACGGATACACTATCGTATGACGTGCGTTAGAAAACAAATATGTACGCGTTCGTTCGACGTTTATTACAATCTGTTCTTCGATTCGAGGCAGGACGATCGGAATAACGCCGCGGTCGGTGTGCATAGGAAACGGTTTTTTTGGAATATATCTAATTTTTACGGACACCAGCGGCCTAATCGAAATTTTGTATATTCTAGCGATAACGTAGGCGAACTCCCTGAACGTCAAACGGAATCTTCGACCGCGGAAAACGTGTTGGACAGACTGAAATCGCTAGCGCGTCTGCGAATGGCGGACACGCAAAGACCGTCCGCTGCGACCGACACTTTTAGCCGGGAAGAGCTGGAGGCACTCAGAGAGCTGCTGGACAGGAACTTGCGAAAATATCAGAACTACGACGCGTACTCGGCCAACGGCAGGAAACGGCCTGCGAACGATCCGTACACCGGCCAAATCGTTCAGAAGCCGCAGAACACGGGACACCAATCGGTCACCGGCAACCGTCAAGACGGCCACGATCACAGCAATAACAACGAAAACGGCGACGATGAGATGAAACGCGTCGAATCGCAACAGATGCCCATCAGGCGGAAGATCATCAGGCGCACGGTGTTCGCGATGCCACTGGGCCGCAGTGGCGTGGGAAACGACATGAATCGGCTGTACGGAGGGGACGCGGACGACCTCGGCAGGATCAACTGGTCGTCGCCGTGGGCCGATTACTTCCCGATACTGATCAAGGACCCGTTGCAGACGATGATGAACTCGTTTTCCGAGATCATCGAGTACGGGCCGGCCGCAGACATTTGCAAGCGCGCCGAACCGACGGGCGGCAGCGGTCGGGGCGCGCGTACGTCGCGGTCGGCCGTCAGACCGGCAACGTTGAAACGGTCGCGCCGGAACACCGGGTCGGCGGCGGTAGAGGAAAAGGGCGTGCTGAACCACGTGAGGCCGTACAAGCCTCACGGGCACCACACGTCCACGACTACCGAGGCGCCGAAGCTGTACCACTGGACCACGGACAGGCAGGCCGCCGAGCACAACGGCGACATGGGGCCGCAGATCAAGAGACTGGTGGTGAGGCGCGGCGGCGTGGCCATAGCCGGCCCCGGGGGCATAGCGACCGCGGGCTCCGGGGGCACGGCCATCGTGGGCCCCGGCGGCTCGGCGTACAGCTCCAAGGACACGGCGTCCGGCGCCACGGCCGACGCGCAACAGCCGTCCGGCATCTCGATGGCCGGTCACGGGCCGCAGATGGTGCAGGCGCCGCTCGGTTACTACGCGCCGTACCCGCAACAGCAGCAGCAGTACAACGGCGGCTTCGGTCGGAGCGTGGACGGCGGTGGCACGGCCGTGCTGTCCGCGGACGGCGCGACGTACACGTTCCCGGCGGCGTCCCGGGGTCTGACGGCCGCGGGCCGGTGGACCGGCGGCGACGGGGACGCGCGGCCGTACGCGGCGTCCACGGCGCGCGAGATCGTTCTGCCGGACGGCGCCAAGCTCATAGCCACCGGGCCGATAGTGTACTACAACCCGGAGCCGTTGTCGCGGAAAAAGTCGCGCAAGGGGAAGAAAGGCGGCGCCAAATCGAGACGCGACCAGTAGTGACCTTGGACGTAGTTCCTCGGCGACGACGACAACAACTCAAGACTGCACGCACGACCACGCATTAGAAATAATTTATTTAACTACTACTATCCATTAGAGGCACTGTTCGCACTAACTTTAGTCTTAAGTACTCCTACGTTGTATAATAATTGTAATAATAATAATAATAATAATAATAATAATAATTTATGTTTGTAGTTTAAGTTACAATGTTACGCGTTGAACAACAACCGTATGTAACATCGTTTGTACAGCAAGCCCTTGTTACGCGGTACGTGTTTCGCGAAAACGGTTTACAGCCAATCCGCGTACCGCGGCCGTGCACGCGAGGGCCTACTCGTTTGCTGTCGTGTTACGAACAAGAGAAACGCGTTTCGCGTCCATTGCGCTGTTATCGTTAGTCCATAAAATGTAATATTTATTCGGTTTACCAATCGCTGTTGTGTTCATCGATCCATTAACGCACCGAGATGTGTCCCCGGCGGTACCGTCCCTAACAAACGTAATCCCTGACGAACGTCCCGAACACCGTTCAATCACGTCTGGATACCGAACACCCGGTACGTGGTGCACGCGTTTACACTCCGACGGGTATGATTACGTACGGCCATAGTTTACCGCCGTACCGTTTACGAGTGGAGTAGATTCTTTGTCGCGTGGATAATTTTTAGATGTTCCGCGTCACCGTTTAACGTTAACGTAAAAGAACGCGCTCGTAAAGTGAAATTCGTGGCTACGAGAGCCGTACGTATTCGTCATTGAGTACGCGACACAATAAGCTTCGATACGTCGTAATGCTATTGTTTCGATAATAATTAGCATCGCGCCGTCGGCTAGATAAATATACGTGTACACTGAAGTTATGTTCGATTTTCCAACTTAAAACTGTATATCACTGCGTTATCAAATATTAGCGATACTCCACCGAATACGGTCGATATCGTTTTATAGATATTATTACTATGTACACTACACGTGCAAAACGAGTACGAGCAAAAAAGAAAACGTACCGAATGTTATACGTAATTATTACAAACTCGATACGTAACGATATCGTATCACCTGTTGACTGATGGATGATTTTCATCCGTGTACTCCCAATAACTTAACACGATTGTTTCACTTCATATCACCGAATTGTGCACAGCGTGTTTATTACTAGTCGAATAAAACCTATTAGTTGTGTCTTCAAACGAATATATTACACACACACACACACACACACACACACACACATACCTATGACGTACAACGCATCTGCATTGATGCATGTCAGTAGGTTACAACTTATCCGCGGATGTGACACGAAGTACCACACTTGTTTACTTAACCAACATAACCATATGTACGAAACGAGTGAAAAAAGTAAAAACTCGGAGTCGTCTAAACTCAAAACAACGAGTGGCTGTTCTAGAAATCTTTATGTACTAAGTAAACAATTTTCTTCTTTTAATGATATTCGATCGGAATAAAACCGTGTGAAAGTAGACACATACATTGTGCTACCGATAAAATACTTTCAAACAAAATTAATTAGAATGAATGTTCTTAAAGCACGTGATCGTTTTATTCAATTGTTGTTATAACTGTCGTCGAAGGGCACGTCGTTGACTGTTGCGTGAACACACCGAAAAAATGCGTTTCGAATGACGAATGAACACGTGAATTGGCAAACCGTTAAGATCTCCTCTTAGTGTTCGTCATTAAATACAAAAAAAAAATCAAAAAAACTCGAAAAATTAACAAATCGTGTTGGTGCATACCGCATCACACTAGCCCGTATTACGTAAACAATAAAGACGAAATCGCGTGCATGCTATACGGAAAACAAAAAATTTCCATCAGGGCCAAACGCCTAGACCTAACCATGGTTATTGTATGCGCAGGTATCGGCTGCCGTACTGGGCAATCATGCCTACGTTAGGCGTTTGGCCCGGAGCCGACGGGACCGGAACAAGAACCAAAGGTGAAGTCACAGCCACCGCCGCCAAATCGTTACTCGCATCCAAATCCGTTGCAGTGAACTTGGATAACGGCAAAGTAACCGTGGTGGATGGAGTAGACCGACCGGAAGTCACCGCTGACGCAGTAACTCCAGTGCCCGGTGCAGCATCCCTTCCAGCAGCCTCTCGAACCGACCCTGCGGCTGATTATCCGAAGCGTCGAAAGCCGACCAAGACGCAGTTACCGAATACGCCCAGCGTTGGAGGACCGAGTTGGCTGCGAAGGAAGACGACGACGACAACGACCAGCACAGAGATGACTACGACTGCAGTACGAGTGAATTCGGATGACTCTGCGGAGGTCACCGCAGCAGATAACGTCACTGCGGGTCCCATAACCAGGATATACTTAAAACCCTCCGCCAGGGCGAAAGCCGGTACCGGTGGCGTAGCCCTGTCCAACCCGATAAGCACGGCCGTGGTCCGTAGGGGCGACACCGTCAGAATAGAATATTTACCGGACGCTACGGCAGAGGCGGGCGAAGGCGGCGTGGCCATTTCCCGGCCGGAACTGATCATCCACTTCGTCGACTGATATATGCAACTCTTTTTTTGCCTCCGATCTAAAGCACAACCGGACTTTCGAGGTCAGGGATGTCCATATTAAAATCAAATTGATTCGTTTCTAAAATAACCACATTTACAGATAAATTTAGTTATCTTATTAAGCCTCGAATGCCGCCGATTTAGTGCTCTATATTCCAGAGTGCTAGAATTAATCAAAAATCTTTGTATTTAACCGATCAAGTACCATTATTGTGCCATATGTACCTATTGTAGTAACATACCAATGAACTACAGTTGAATACCGTAAACTATAATTTTATATTTTAACAATAGCGTAATGTATTATTACGAATATTATTTATGAGTGTGTTTTACTTTTACGCACCATTATTAAATTTATTTTATTTTAATTATTAGGCATACGTGCTATTTTTTGTACTCTCTAATTAGTGTGTAATTTTTTTATTTTCTTTAACTTCAAAACTAACTTTAGGGTACGTATCATAAATATCACTTGTTTTCTTTTTATAGCACGTGCAGATTTTGTTATTATCCTAATGAAGTCTTCGTATGCAATATGTTTCCATAATATTACAACTTACTATCAATCATTTTTAATTTTATTGTAGAACTAAGCCCGATACATTTTTTTTTTTTAATTTAATTGTAAATATATGGTATTTCGTCTAACTGTCCATGATATTTGAAACTTTAACCGAAGGGAATCTAAACGAAACCGATAATAATTCGTGATTACATTCTATTAAATTCCTTTATTATTTTCCATGTAAACGTTGTTATCTATAATAGCTAGAAAACTATTTGATAGATTACAGAAATCCATTTTTATTTCTTCTCATTCGAGTTGTCTGTAGTTGAATTTGAAATAAACATAAATATTTAGGCTTAAATAAAAAAAAAAATTGTATTTAATTTTACAATAAAAATCCTGAATATATATAAATTTCCAAAATAATATATGCAGTGTTTTAGATATCTATTATACAAAGTAAATACATAGTTCTAAGTAATAAAATTTAAACAACCACATAGTACATATGTATACCAAGTATCTAAATAATATTTTTAAGACTGATTTATCTCAAAACATAATAACTATAAAAAAAGAAGTACCTATACTTACTTTTACTTTTTACTTTTCAGTGCTATCAACAAAAATAAATTACCGTTACTATTGTATTTTAAAAATAAAATTAATCAAATTGATGTTATATTTTATGTTAATATTTCGTGTCACGTAGAGCATTTTGTTACCAAATCATATAATAAATAACCAATACTGTTGAAATTCTGATAACACACATTTAAATATATAATTTATATATATTGAATAATTATAAAATATGTATTTTATTCATGTGTTACACTAATCATGATTTTAATGTTACGAAAAATATAAGATTCCGTTAAAAAAAATACATATATAATCGCAGTACATAAAAGTTTGTTATTTACGTATATATTTTAACGATTAAAATTAATCTTAAAATTTTCAATTCATAGAGTATTAATACTAATTAGAAATTAGAATAGAATAAAAGATTAAATGTTAAATGTGTACAATCACGTATTAAGCTCTAATAGTTAATGATAAATTTGAATTAGATACTTCCAATAATATCAAACATTGCCGCTTATCGAATAAAGCTGAGAAATGTTTAAAAATATTTATAAAAAAAATGTACACACTATTAGCGTTAGATTGAGACAAAAGGAAAGAACTATTTATATAATATATGCATTTAAAATGCATTTATGGGCCTGGTTAGATAGATTTATAATATGATAGAAAAATAAATAACGAAGAAGATAATAACTCGATCACGATAAAATGCATGAATTATAATCAAAATATATATTTTTTTATTTTGCTTTTATCTTAGGTCATAAACCCTACGTCATAAGCCTATTACAATAATAATACAATATAATATAGATCACACATTGTACAATTCGTCTAGGAAGTACTCTATCTTGTCAAACACATTTTTTACTATCCTACAATAAACGTGAAACGATTTAATGATTGACAAGACAAATAATATGATACGAGTAACATTATAACAAAATACTATACTAAAAATATTTATGTTTCATGTTTGATAAAATAATAAAATACACATCATTATTATGCTTGCTCTATATACAAAGCTATTCTCACATTTTTTCTAATTAGTTTCCTTTCACGATTTTCACATTAAAAAATATTTAAGTATAATTAAATAGTATCAATCACTTTGATAGATGGCTGATTGTCTGTATGTAAATAAGATCAAGGAGTATAATTATATCTATTAGATGAGAATGCACAGATTAAAAAAATGATAATAAACAATAAGATATAATATAATAATTAAAATAAAAGATACAATGTTATTAATAATAAGATTCATAAAACATCCTACGTACTACAAAGTTATAAGATTATTAGTACGTAGATTGAGTAAATTTAATAGAACAGTTTGTTAATTTTTTAAGATTTATATTCATATTTTGAATTATTAATTACGAGTAATCAATAAAATGTTGTAAGACTATGTTCAGCTTAATAAAAATAATTAAAATATACAATGATAGATTATAAACGCCTTAATAATTTATGGTATACGCAACACAACATACATTTTAACTATACTACTCAAATGATGTATTACTTTTATTACTTCAAACTTTACTTGTAACATTTCACTAATATCTTAGTTGTTTTTGCATTTTTTTAAACATTATTATAATTTTCATAAACTATAAAATATAAATTCAAGCCTATAATAATTCAAAGAAAAATATTTTTTTCATTTTTGTTCTATCTGATGCTGATTGCTGATAAAACGAAAATGTTATTTGTTCATAAAGAGTACAATTTCATTCAAGTAAAAAAACAGCTTATTTGTTTGAAAATAAATTTAATATCTTTTAAATTAAATTTTTTTGAAATATTTAACGACAAAATGTAATATTAAATACATTTTATAGCTATTTTTATAACTGAGAATCATGCATCTCGATACATTTTAAATTTAAATTCACTGGTAAATTAAGATAATATAAAATACATTCAAAGTGAGCGAGAAAGTATAAATTATTGTATATTCGTATACTTTTTCAAAAATCGTATTATCATTTTATGTAAAAATGATCTTGTGTATTATAATAATACACATCCGATAATCGGAACATTTAATAAAACAAATTTGATAGTTTATCAATGTGTAACTAAAAAACAAAACATTGTCAAACTACAGTTTATGTTTTGACTGATCGTAAAGCATTTAAAATTCGATTAATATAAATTGTTGATTCAAAAAATGTTAAAATGTTCGTTCAATGTATAATGTTATAATCTCGATTTAAATATTAAGCTAGTTATTGCGTTATGACATATTGTAATACAAGTTTGAAAACAAAATCACAAACATTTTGGTCGTTCCAAAACTAAATATTTTTTGTTCCGAAAACGTTTGATATTTCGGTTGCACGGATAGGGAATGTCGAACACTTTAGTGTTCGTAGCGTAAAATGCGATTTCGACCGATCGACGACGGGGAAAACGCGTCATCGGTTTGGTTATACGTTTTTCACAACATCGACTGCGACAACAGTGGAAGAAAACAAAGAATGTAAACGAATATCGAAAAAACCGGAAGATGATGTCGGACTTTTGCGAAACGTCCGTCTCCAGTAGTCAAGAGACCGTTCGCGATCAATGATAACAACAACTAACGGAGTACGCACATCGTATCGCAAAACGTGTGCCCCGTCCAGCGAACAGTCGCCGTTTTCTTTCCCGGCCAGGATGAAAATAATTACAACTGCATTACCATTACTATTTGTGTCATCGACCGTGGATTCAACACGTCACGCGAGTCGTCACGAACGCGTTTACGGACGAACTGGCGATTGGCGGACTGCAGTTAGGCCGTTTGATTGCTTGCCAGGGAACAAAAAAAAAAAAAAATCGTCGGCCCATATTTCGTGACGGCCCGCGCTGAAGTCGAACAACAGTTATCCGTCTCCTGACCGCCGCCTTCCAGTCTACGCACGCGTGGTGAATTAATGTCGCGCGACGACGTACGTTCGCATACTCGGCCGCTACGCGAGACACGAACGCAAACGCGTGTAAGCACGTCCGCGGCGACATTATGGTCCGTAAAACCGTGTACGCGCGCCCGATTCTGGATTCAGACCTTCAGGGACCATCTATACATGGTCGTAGCCCTCCCTCCCTACCCCCGCAGTTAATACGGTTCTTTAAAAATTATAAAAATTGATATTGAAACGAAAAATCACGCAAAACCTGACCGCTTGCCCCCGCCCCCTTACCGTGCCCAATGATGGTGAACAAGATCACAGGCCGCAACGTCCGTTAGTTCAAACAAGAGAAAGCAATAAAAATAAAAATATTCTCGTCGGTACCATAAAAGTAAAAATCATCACTCAAAGTAATTTTAAGATTATGAGACCTTTACACATATGAGCTTCGGAGACTTGAACGCTCTAGGCTTGCGCTAGCTCTCGGATTTTGTCCGATTCGTTGCCCGTTTACATGACCGGTCACTTTTCATCTGACAATTTGTTGAACACCGTCCTGTAAAAAATTTCGGGTACATATCGTAATGTTTCGCACTGCACCCTTAACGTTAACACGATCAACGGTAAAACAATTATTAATACTAATAACATATAAGTAAGATTTACTTCAAATTTTTTAAATATTTATCAAGTTATTCTCCCCCCCCCCCCAATCGGCTGGCGTATTATTCGTATATTTTAAGTATATATTGTTCCATAGACAATCAAGATCGTGCACACGCGCTTGAACCGTAATACACGCTCACCGTGTAATGTTGCTTTACTGTATAACGTGGTATCACGTCTTCCAGATCCATGGAAAAATTAATGGGTCATCTGAGGACGGAAAATTCTGATGCAACATAACCGAATGAGTGTAATGAATGTACAAGTTTCCCCCCGAATTATATGATTTACTTAGGTACTATTCGCGTTTTGTGTTTTTCGACTTAACCGTTGGGGAACCTTTACCGTTAAAATCCAAAAATAACCTGTTTTAAAGTTTATACCATCTGCAGTGTTCAATTTCATATTTAAAAAAGTCGCTGAGTGAAACTACTGGTACAAAACACGACTGTTTAAGAGTCGAGAATAACCGATACACCTCTCACTCAGCGCACGCAAACTAAAAACATTTATCTTTAAAATTTACCACTGTTGTGAAAACTGAATAGAATAGAACTTATATAAAACTGAGCAAATTAATAACTGTAAAAATCATGCCATTACTATACGGCGATAGGTTAGGTTTTCTGCAGACAGAAAACACGCGGAACGTCCGTGTGGTGGAAATTCGCAGCGATGAATGAAACTATTTGAAAACAATGTACTCACCTGCTGCTAATTTGGGTGTGTTTATAAATGTTCAAACTTTATATTATGTTAATGTTATCCCAACGTTTTCCATGTGAATAAATAAATAAAACGTTGGAACGGACGTGCTCGACGCCAGAGTAGGTGCAGCATATATTAATATTTTATATAGAAAAATTAATGTAAAAATGTGGAGGTGCTAAAATTCTAAGAGCTCGTTACAGCGCTATTATATTATATTATGGGTATAATGTCGCCGTAAAGACCTAACCCATTTCCACGATGCTGGTATTAATAATATTATTATTAGGACGTCTACTCTTGTGAATTTTATCGTGGAGGCGTTGAACATAAGGTATCCGATGACGTGTGTGATTGACAGCCGGTGACCCTTACCATATTGTCATGGTGCGAAAAGTCTAAACCGATTGAGTATCCAAAAATTCGGATATTATAAATACCCGAATTTTTTATTTTTCGTTTGCGTAACATATTTCAATGAATTAT